TNGGGGGGGGGGGGGGGGGGTGGGGACATTATANCTACCTTGCCTATGTTTCAAATTTTAAGACAACGATCAGTAAGATGATGTTTTCGTCACGCCACCTGCCGACTTTACAATATTTTATCAGATAACTGTTTCAACAGATTTTATGAAATAAAATGCACTTTAATATGGTGTGGAGAATGTTTACATTTCGTGTATTCTGGTTTAAAAATGTATTTAAAGTAGACACATATTTAAATATTAAGAGATAAGGTTGGGCCCCATGTTAAATTTATGACTATAATTATAATCCCACCACGATGTTTACTTTCAAGTTTTTATTTGTTTTTATTTGTTTTGTAAATTTAAAATTCATTTCAGTGAAAATTTCTATTTTGAGTCAATTTTACTTTTGGAGAGAACGACGTGTCGAATTAACATTTGTAATGTAAATTAAAAGAGCGAAAGTCTCACTGGAGTACATTTCAATCAAATTTCTCACTGTGAAACAAGAAATTAGGCCATTGCAGTCAAGGTATTAGACACTTCGTTATACAAGAAATAGCTATATATTAGAGTATTATACTCAGTTTGTAAAAGCTTGACGTTGTGAAGATACAAGAAATGTGACTATTGTAGTCAAGGTATAATACTCAGTTCGTAAAAGCTTGACGTTGTGAAGATACAAGAAATGTGGCTATTGTAGTCAAGGTATTATACTCAGTTCGTAAAAGCTTGACGTTGTGAAGATACAAGAAATGTGACTATTGTAGTCAAGGTATAATACTCAGTTTGTAAAAGCTTGATATTGTGAAGATACAAGAAATGTGACTATTGTAGTCAAGGTATAATACTCAGTTTGTAAAAGCTTGACATTGTGAAGATACAAGAAATGTGACTATTGTAGTCAAGGTATAATACTCAGTTTGTAAAAGCTTGATATTGTGAAGATACAAGAAATGTGACTATTGTAGTCAAGGTATAATACTCAGTTTGTAAAAGCTTGATATTGTGAAGATACAAGAAATGTGACTATTGTAGTCAAGGTATAATACTCAGTTTGTAAAAGCTTGATATTGTGAAGATACAAGAAATGTGACTATTGCAGTCAAGGTATAATACTCAGTTTGTAAAAGCTTGATATTGTGAAGATACAAGAAATGTGACTATTGTAGTCAAGGTATAATACTCAGTTTGTAAAAGCTTGATATTGTGAAGATACAAGAAATGTGACTATTGTAGTCAAGGTATAATACTCAGTTTGTAAAAGCTTGATATTGTGAAGATACAAGAAATGTGACTATTGTAGTCAAGGTATTATACTAAGTTCGTAAAAGCTTGACATTGTGAAGATACAAGGAAGGTGGCTATTGTAGTCAAAGTATAATACTGAGTTCGTAAAAGCTTGACATTGTGAAGATACAAGGAAGGTGACTATTGTAGTCAAGGTATAATACTCAGTTTGTAAAAGCTTGACGTTGTGAAGATACAAGGAAGGTGGCTATTGCAGTCAAAGTATAATACTGAGTTCGTAAAAGCTTGACATTGTGAAGATACAAGGAAGGTGGCTATTGTAGTCAAAGTATAATACTGAGTTCGTAAAAGCTTGACATTGTGAAGATACAAGGAAGGTGGCTATTGTAGTCAAGGTATAATACTAAGTTCGTAAAAGCTTGCCATTGTGAAGATTAAAGAAATGTGACTATTGTAGTCAAGGTATAATACTCAGTTTGTAAAAGCTTGACGTTGTGAAGATACAAGAAATGTGACTATTGCAGTCAAGGTATAATACTGAGTTCGTAAAAGCTTGACATTGTGAAGATACAAGGAAGGTGGCTATTGTAGTCAAGGTATAATACTAAGTACGTAAAAGCTTGCCATTGTGAAGATACAAGAAATGTGACTATTGCAGTCAAGGTATAATACTCAGTTTGTAAAAGCTTGACATTGTGAAGATTAAAAAAATGTGACTATTGCAGTCAAGGTATTAGACACAGTTCGTAACAGTCTGATATTGAGTAGATGGGTCTATAACTAAGTGTCAGAACCTATCAGGAATCTGCTGATCATGGTGTTTTCTCCTGATAAAAAGTGGTTTTTAAAAAAGGTCATTAAGACGCGGCAGGAAAAGTAAAATTTGTAATTATGTAATAATTATGTAATGCAAGTAAACTCTAATCTCTACCGTATGTTTTATAATTTCAGTCATTTTAAAGATACGTTGTCACTTTTTCTTGAAAAAAAATGATACCAGAATGGTGGCTAATATCTTGACATTGTGAAGATGTGAAACAAGAAAGGTGACTATTGTAGTCAAGGTCTAAGTATAAAGCTTTTAATATCTTGACATTGTGAAGATGTGAAACAAGAAAGGTGACTATTGTAGTCAAGGTATAAGTATTATGTTTGTAATAGCTTGACATTGTGAAGATGAAGTTTGTAATAGCTTGACATTGTGAAGATGAAGTTTGTAATAGCTTGACATTGTGTAGATGAAGTTAGTAATAGCTTGACATTGTGAAGATGAAATTAGTAATAGCTTGACATTGTGAAGATGAAGTTAGTAATAGCTTGACATTGTGAAGATGAAGTTTGTAATAACTTGACATTGTGAAGATGAAGTTTGTAATAGCCTGACATTGTGAAGATGAAGTTTGTAATAGCCTGACATTGTGAAGATGAAGTTGGTAATAGCTTGACATTGTGAAGATGAAGTTGGTAATAGCCTGACATTGTGAAGATGAAGTTTGTAATAGCTTGACATTGTGTAGATGAAGTTAGTAATAGCTTGACATTGTGAAGATGAAGTTGGTAATAGCTTGACATTGTGAAGATGAAGTTTGTAATAACTTGACATTGTGAAGATGAAGTTTGTAATAGCTTGACATTGTGTAGATGAAGTTAGTAATAGCTTGACATTGTGAAGATGAAGTTAGTAATAGCTTGACATTGTGAAGATGAAGTTTGTAATAACTTGACATTGTGAAGATGAAGTTGGTAATAGCTAGATATTGTGAAGATATAAGAAAGGTGATATTGTAGTCAAGGTATAAGTATGAAGTTTGTAATAGCTAGATATTGTGAAGATATAAGAAAGGTGATTATTGTAGTCAAGGTATAAGTATAAATATCTTGAAGTTATGAAGCTGGGTATAACTATGAATAATAAAGTAAAGTATATATTAATTTAGAACGGTCTGGTAAATGTTTAAAATAACATGGTTTAAATCAAGTCACAATCTACTTGTTAATATTAAAGGTGAAGTCCCACAGAAAAGATACCAATGTTATCTCTCGTATATGGCATAGAGTTTTTAAAAAAACAATAAGCCAATCATGTGTTCAAATCTCAGATTTTAGGTTAACGTAAACATTCTGTAAGAGCCACGTTTGAGCGCTCATACGTTTCAAGTTCTGGGACTGGAAAGATATTCGGCAATCCTCGGCAATTTCCGTAAAGCCGAATCTGTTGCAGAGCGCCAGCAGAACTTTCACGGTAGACCGTTTGGTAGAAGGCCTGTCTCGACTAAGTCAAGTCAAATTGCCTAGAAACACTCATCGATTAAAAGACGTAGAGTAACTGGAGGACACCCATCTTTAACAGGTATATTGATAAAACAGGAAGTGGGCTATAAATTACATGTTTTGAAATGTCTTATCTCTAGTTTTATGGTCGACGATAAATACCTGGTTATTTTATATAAAACATCTTACTAACTCTGGTTTTATCATGCTATAGTTATAGAATATGTTACATTGAATAACAACAGAAGTTCTATATATCACGATTGATAATACATCAGAAAACATTTTTACTATCAAACCACAAATAATATCTGTGAATTCACCAACTCTGAGTCGGAAGACTGTCAACTCAATTAACGTCTTTCCAGGTCCGTAGCCACACTTGGTTGTTAAGAGGGGCAAGTAATATATCCGGCTTGCTCCCCCCTCCCCCCTCTTCCCTGTAGGCCCTACCCCTCGGAGACTCGATAACCTTTCAGATCCTTCAAACTAATAACTTTGAGTTATTTGTAGTCTGTAGTCTTTTCTCAAGATGACAAGGGAGGTAACTCTATTTTCAATAGAAAACGTCAACAAAGAATATCGGCATAATAAATGATCAAATTATACTTTTTAGGTGAAAATCATGTGTAACCGTATTATGTATTACAAATTTATTTGATTTTAAATCGGTTTATATAAAATTTGAAAAATTAAAAATGAAATTTGAAAATCCATATTCTATTATAAGACGAATCGGATGCGCTCGATTACATGTTTTTGCTCTATCCCCAAAATATCAAAATTCACAATAAAATGGTAAAATTTTTGCAAGAATAAATCTGTGATGGTTTTTTTTCTGGTATATTTTATATAAATTTGTTTTTTAGTAAAACATGAATGATTTTAAGTTAAAGAAATTCAGAATTGAGGCTGATTTTGACGTTCTGTTTGACACGTGTCACAACTACACGAGAATCGAACTCACTGTTTGACGTGACTGTTGTAAACAAACCGGTTTGATGACTGTGTGTTTATTTAGTCGATTTAATTCATTATTTCATCGTTCATTCACTCATTTTAGTGGTAAGTTCTCCTCGAGATAGTTGGAGAATTTAGTTTTAGCACTATTTTTCAATTCAAACTAAGGTTAGTCCGTTTTGTTGTTCGTAGCATCAACAGTTTCAGTGGGTTTTTTTTTTCAGTCTTAGCATTTTTTATTCTTTTTGCAATGGCCAAGGGTATTTTTGGTTTGGTGGAATCATTCAGTACAAATGTCGTTTGAAGTTTTAAATTCCTGATACAGAACATATTGTTATTGACAGTAAATTTGAATTCTGTCTATCCTACCCCTCCCTGGTTGCCCTGGTACATTTGTGGTGCGAAGACATTTTATAGGGCCTACTATTCTGAAAAATTCCAAAATGTGATTTTTTATACATTTTGCACATAAATATGTGTCAGAATGGACGTAACAAATCTATTTTCCAACATTGTCTTATGAGAACCCTCTCCTACGTTCCAAGGGAGGCTTCAGCCTATGAGCTTTCACATATCTTTTGAAACTACGACATTGTATCCCCATTGAGTCAGCAGTCTTCCCACGATTTGTACCCCCAGGCCCAAGTCACGGGAGGGTGGCGCCGTCACTTCCCTTGTACAGCAAATATTGACAGTAAATTTAAACTTTGATCTTTTCATCAATTAAGATTTCTATTGTTCAAGTTAATCTATAATGACAGAATAATAAAAACCTGGTGAAATCAATAATAAGACCATTTCAATCTACTTATGAACATGCCACCTAATTAACGAAATCAATGAAATTATCCTGCCAAATATAGAATACAACATTACGTTAATCAGTTTACTTGGAGGGTAGACTAGAGCAGGATTATCTGACTCGTTAAGGTAAAAAATGAATTACGTTTATTGTTAAATTAACTTCTTTTCACCTATTGTTGAATGTAGCTTATTAGTTTTATTATCCAACAGTTCTTGAAATTTGGGGACTTAGTCTGTGTTTTTTATGAGTTAAATTCTCATTTTACGTTAATACCATTTTTGATCGATTCTAAATCAAACATTTCTAACTAACAGTAAAGAATAAAGCTGGTCTATTTTTCTGAAACATGAGACTGAATTTTTCTGTGAAATAGCCTAATATTTAAACCTATATTATAATAATAGAAAATGATAACAGAGCGTGAAACTCTGAGTAACAACATGTTTCAGGTTCTGTTTTAATATTTATGATAATATAAAATATAATAATAATACTACCAGCTGTTGAAATATTGGTTGACATCTGCTATTCTAGTTATTCAGATATTCACTCTGTATTACTTAATAATTATATAATTCAGGTTTAACAAGATTTAAAGTTATATTCGGAGATTTAATAGTTTAGTTTATTGTGATTATTCACTTGTTAAAACTTTGGCTTACAATTTATTATATATTCAACAGGGGTTTGACAGGTTGGATTTTACAGTAAATTTTTTTTATAAGAATTATCTATGTTTGTATGTTTATGTTATTTAATATTATTGATGATGTAAAAGTCTAAATTCCTAGGGTTGGATTATTCCTTGAAAATACAAGTATCTAATTATCAACAAGTCAGGGAACATTCTATCTAAACTGATATTTAAATGTCAAGTTTTTACTTAATTCTAACTAATAGATATTATATTTATCAACCAACCATTACTGTTATTCGATATCATTTTAATTAAAACTTGTCCCTGATAGACCTCATAAAATACTCTATATCTTTTTAATTATATCTTCTGATTTATATCTTCTTATTTATATCTTCTTATTTATATCTTCCTTAATTATATCTCCTTATTTATATCTTCTTATTTATATCTTTTTAATTATATCTTCTGATTTATATCTTCTTATTTATATCTTCCTTAATTATATCTCCTTATTTATATCTTCTTATTTATATCTTTTTAATTATATCTTCTGATTTATATCTTCCTTATTTATATCTTCCTTATTTATATCTTCCTTATTTATATCTTCTTATTTATATCTCCTTATTTATATCTTCTTATTTATATCTTCTTATTTATATCTTCTTATCTATATCTTCCTTATTTATATCTTCTTATTCTTATACTGAATGAACTTAAAGTCTTCTGTAAAATTTCAAACATTGCACACTTTATGGTGTTCATCTTATACCTTGACTACAATAGCCACCTTTATTGTATCCTAAATGTCAAGGTATAAGATAAAGTTTGTAATAGCTTGACATTATGAAGATGTAGTTTGTAATAGCTTGACATTGTGAAGATGAAGTTTGTAATAGCTTGACATTGTGAAGATGAAGTTAGTAATAGCTTGACATTGTGAAGATGAAGTTTGTAATAGCTTGACATCATGAAGATGTAGTTTGTAATAGCTTGACATTGTGAGGATGAAGTTTGTAATAGCTTGACATTGTGAAGATGAAGTTTGTAATAGCTTGACATTGTGAAGATGAAGTTTGTAATAGCTTGACGTTGTGAAGATGAAGTTTGTAATAGCTTGACATTATGGAGATGTGATACAAGTAAGGTGGCTATTGTAGTCAAGGTATAATTACGAAGGCTGTAATAGCTTGACATTGTGAAGATGTGATACAAGAAAGGTGACTATTGTAGTCAAGGTATAAGTACAAAGTTTGTTATTTTATTAAGCACAATTTTTGTTTATTTTCAGTTGTTAGATCATTTTCATTCACCCCCATGGCGTCTTCTCTCAAACCAGTGGTCATCAGTGGTCCTTCAGGTTCAGGCAAATCTACATTAATAAAAAAACTTTTTGAAGAATTTCCTGAGTGTTTTGCCTTCAGTGTGTCACGTAAGTATTAACTTATTTCAACCCAACTTTCATGTCCACTTCTCATTATTTACAACCATACACAACTAGTAATCACAACTAGTAATCACAACTATACACAGCTAGTAATCACAACTATACACAACTAGTAATCACAACTATACACAACTAGTAATCACAACTATACACAACTAGAATCACAA